GGGGGGGGGGGAAGATTGCAGTTTGACCTTCGACGGAGGGGGGGGAGGGGGTATGGAGAGGCGTAGCGGGACTATCGAGAAATGCGTTGTGAACTGGCCGGACGAGGGATGCAGTGGGCGAAGGGAGAAAGTGAGGCGAAAAGTCCTCCCTCCTCTCTCCCGAGAGACCACCCTGGATCCGCCCCTGGTGATAGACCGGGCCACAGTCTGGTGAAAGGATCCGCTTGAACGGCTGTGTGGAATTATGCGGATGAGAAAGGCGTAAAATAAGAGAATGAAAAAGCTGCCAATTGCATAATTGGCGAGAAGGAAAGTGATAGTGACTGGAGCACTATGTGTATGATTTATACAGTCTCCGCTGCTCCGGACAAGGAGTAAGTATAGATTAGGATTTAACACTTATATTGGCGAAATTTCAGAATTGGCAACCCATGATAGCACATTGCGCAAAGGTTTCCAGCGTTTGCAAGAAAACAACAAAAATATGTTTGAGCATTCACCGACGCAGCCGGTTCGACAGCGTTCCGCGCTTGCCGGTCCCGTGATTCTGCCATCCAGTCAGCACCACATCTCCTCGCATCACCAGCAGAAACATCCATCAACCTCTCAGGGATATCATCGTACTGCCGGTATATATTTATAGAGAATAATGGATGTGTGAAAACGATAATGCGTTTAAGTGAATTCTGAGTGGGGATTAATAAAAATAAAAAAAAAATAATGAAAAAAATAAAAAGAAAATTTGTTTTAAATTTAAAAGTATATAATTACTATGACGTTTCGGCTTCAAGTATATATTGGATAGCACCTGGTTATGACGAAGTCTTGTCAGTATACCGTCACAACCCTAGTTGATGTATTATATTAACGTTAATTGTGAGTAGTATGTTATGAAGAACCAAAAAAAAACATGAAAAAATGAAGATGGGACACTCTTGTGTTCTTGGTGGTCGTTCGTGGCGCGCTGGCTAGTAAAATGGCTTTGATTATACAGCGTTTTTGTACGATAAAGAGCGCTTAAACATACTTGAGTGCACAATCGAGTGTTGCCAGTAGGTTGGCCCGTGGAACCTAGGAATTGGAGGACGTTTCGTTTAATCGAAGAGGATTTGTTTGTTGGGACTGAGAATGTATCATTGAGTCGCCTGACGAAGTCGAATGAGTGGGACGATACGAAAAACCGGACCCTGAATGAAGAAAAGGGGGGTTTATGTAGATGTGTTATCCTGCCCAGGGAGGGGTTTCGTACCAGCCTCCCCTTTGTATCAGCTGCCATCTGGCTTCAACAACAAAGCATTATTGAGTTACAGTATTATGTC